TTAAGAGTCACATTCTTTTTTATTACACACCCAAGTGTGATGAACAGCAGACGGGGCGAACCACATAGTCAAGAGGACCTGATGTTCAGTGGTGGAAACCGGCAAACTAAGCCCCGGGACTTGGAGTGGCGAACCGCATAAGGCCCCGATAGGTTAGGCGTGGCATTGAACCGGACGACAGCAGAACTGCCTACCACCAAAGTTGGGTAGCGGTGGTGGGGCTCGAACCTCGAACCACAGGATCCAGAGCACGCCGGTGACAGCGACTAAACCACTGAGCCACCACCTCCCTACGCCTGGCAAACAACCGCATAAAGTTCATTTTTTACAACCATTAACCATGCACTTTCGTGCGCCGGTTTTGGTTGATCATTTTGATAAAAGAACAGAATGAAGATTGGAACGTTAAAAGCAAATTCAAGCGGAAGATGGAGAATTCATAGGGGTTAGGTAAATAATGAGTAGATGCACGAGCGCCACTGTTTGCGACACTCAGCCATATTACTCAGTATCTCTAACCATCCGGGACTATCATCCCGAGGTCCCCAACCAGGGAGCCTAACAGGGCCTATGTGACCTAGTCTCCTGGTTAGGGTCTTCATACCCTCATGCCAGGTCTTCGTTAGCCCACCACTGACCTTTTTACAATCGATGCCTGTCTCGGAAAACACCGCTCGCCGTGGCAACCTATTTGGTGACATGGGTAACATGCTACAGCTAACGTAATCTATGGAGGTCAATCACTTGCTCCAGTGGACGACCGCGGCTGCCTAAAACTCTACGCCTAACCTTAGCATTACTAGTCCGGTTACCCCACCAGACTCGTGCAATGCGACGTAGACAGCGGTGTTCGAACACCGACAATCTATTTTATCCTGTTCCTTTAGTGGCCAAGTCTCTGCACCGTATAACTACACCGGCCGAACTGCTGCAGCAAATACTCGACCCTTCACAGACAGTCGGTTGTCGCGACGGCGCCACAGATTTCTCAAGTTGGCAAATGCCAACCGAGCCTTCTGTATGCGTGCCAACAATTCATCTGTGATGCGTCCGCCAGGTGAAATATAGCAGCCCAGATAGTAAAATTTGTCTACTTCCTCTACTACTTCCCCAGTCAGGATGAGACTGGGTGCTGGACCAACCCAATCTTGTAGTCATATTTTATACTTTGAAGGTGCAAAACACATACCGAACATGCCTACACTAGTACCCAAACCATCCATAAAAGCTTACAACTTACCTGGATCATTACTTAGTAGCACAATGTCGTCTGCGCAATCTAGATCAGACAGTCTGCCACCCGGGAGTAAATCGATACCCCTATCCTCGCACGAAATGCTGTTTCAAGAATTAACGAAGTTAAATAGAAACGGAGAGGGTAATCCTGTCGAACACCACTTTGAGGTGAACTCGGGTGAAAAAGAACAACCGTATAAAAGCCA